CACTCCTTTTGGTGGAGAAATTGGAGACATCTATTGAATAAGCCACTGAAGTCACCACACCAGGGCAAGCCTTCATTTTGCATGCCATCGCTGGCCTTACATTGCAGCTGCCCCTCTTGCTCACAATGTCCTTGGTTGTTTCATGTGATTTCGTTGCCGCTCTTCTCCTTTCTTTCTTCTAGTTATCTCCTCATCAGGTCTGGTGGGTGCCCTGCGTTTTCAAACCGCCTTGTGCATTGTACGACTGGCGCTTGATCGGGACGCAGAGTACAGGCCCTGGGCCGTGGTTCAATCGGACCTGTTGGCCTTTTTTGGTGAACAATACAGCTTGGCAACGGGGTGGGGTGCTCAAGCAGTACATGTGTAGCTGCTTCCAAGTGGGGAGTCCAAAGTGGACAGGTCGTCCTGCTGCTTCCATTTGCTTTCGTGCCTTTTCTATCCTTTTCTTGTGTGCTATTCTTGGCTGGCTGTTGGGCTGGTGGCAAAGACGTCTCAAGCGTTGAAGCTGGAGGGTTTCACACGCTTTAAGGCAGGCTGTGGCGCTGGATGAAGCACCTGTGAATTCTGCCGCCGCACGGCGCTTCTTCTACAGGTCGCACCGGGGGAGGGAGGTTTGCAGTGGGAACCCACGGTGGGTTGTTGTGATTCTCTTCAGACCCTGAAGGTGCTTGTCCCCTGAAAGCATGGCAGGAAATCGGAGAAAATACAAAACACACAGAGTCGCAGAGTAAATGCGATATTCTAGTAGTGCTGAACTTGATCTGAGACAAGATGATGCCTTTCTAGAGTTCCTGCACCTACGGACGTGCCTGTGCAAGCAGACAATCACTGAACTCTCCCTCAGTTTGTCACCGGTGGTTTGTTTGTGCTTTCTGAAGTCTCCACATGTGGTGCTATGGGGGTTGTGGGAGATTTGACGAGTTGATATCGTATCACTTGCAACATCTTGCAACTCTTGGGTCTTAGGCATGGGGTTATTGGAGACACATCAATCTCGCATAATCTCACCACCTGTGCAACGCCACTTGCAACGCCTTTTCTCCTGCGCGGCAGGTGCTGCCTTTTCGTCACTCAGAATTGGGCTCAACTGCTTCAGTGCCCGCGGCTTGTGGACCCTGCGTATGACACTTGGAGTCCGACAGATGGCGGGTTAGCATCTGTCGCATTGTCGCATACAGCATCGACCATGTTTGGTTGTGGACGGATGCACCATGAGTTTGAACGGATGCGCCATGCCAAAAACCATTGACAAGATGCCGTTTGGATGCACGATCAGTTCACTATGAGAGCCGAGAGCCGATACAAACAATGACTGAACTGCTTTCGACTGCGAGCCCATGAGCTACTTGACTCCCTCAAATGTTTGACCTGCTTTGTCATGTGTTACTTGAGTACGATTCTGTATGTTTCTTCATACATGTGGATTCCCCATGATTGTCTGCAGGGGAGCTACAAATGCCTTCCACTCCTGTATCAACGAATGACTTCCATGTGAGACGATCGCCATGTGAGAAAGCGAGCCGGAATTTGCCCATGGGAGCCGGAACTCCTCTTTTGACCGTGAGGAAGGCCTCACCACAGAGGACGGGATGCGCTTGCGTGGCTACAGCCGGACACCTTGCAAGTTTGGAGGCTCCAATCCTCGACGTTCCACCTCGGGGCCGGCAGGTTTGGAGAATTGGCCAGGGGGGGGTTATGATCGTGGTACTTTCCGATTTGTTGGAATATGTTGGAATGATGTTCGTGGGAGGAGTGCGTGCGTACACTTCCTGGCATCATCATGGCTACGTGAACTCCACAGGGAAGGTATGGTGTGTAAATCATTGTATATAAATCCAATACCTTTACCGGAGGGCCGGATCTGTGAGGATGAAGTTTGACCTTTCTCCCGCCTGGGCTGTCGCCCAAAACCAGCCATTACAGTGCCCAAGAACTCGAAAAGGAACTATGCTCAGACACTCCATGTATGGAAGAGTAAGAATATCCCTACCCCCTTACCCATGGATTTGAGGGGGTGACACCTGAGGTTATTGGATATAGTAATATTATATGTGCCTACACTGAGGTTTCAGGGGCCGATGGCGACATATGTTCCAGTCACCCTGGAGCGCCTGGGAAATGGGTAGAGAGAAATCCCATGGGACGGCCAACACCGTTCCGCAGGCAAGTGCTATGACCAGAAGAAGGGCCACCGCACGCAGCAGTTTGATCGAAAGATGGGCCACCGGTTGCAGTCTCGCTCTATCAGCTGAAGACGGGGATAGGGAGGCTGGCGGGCCTTGTGCAAGTTGCAGCGTCCTACTGGCATGGCATGTCAGATCTCCTGTCATGAGGGAGTGCGAAGGGGCTTCGACCTTGCCTTTTTTTTTGAGGCGCTAGGAGGCATTAAGACATTGCCATCACATATATATATATATATACACATTATGTATAGACATGTAGCAAGATATACCGCCCACGTGAGGAATTTGAATTGTTGTTTTGTTCGGGGTCAAGCAAGGCTCTCTCGTCCAATTGCATTTCCTATGAGTCAGTTCTGCGATATTGTCATTTTGTGTTCACAGCAATGGGCTGGTGTTTGTCCTGGTGCTTCATTCGCTGTCGCCCCTGGTGCTTTTTTGCGCGCGCGGTCCGGCGGATGGCTGCAAGCTTAAGGTATTCCCATCCTGGTGATGTTGATTGGCAACGCCTACCATGTCGTTATGCAGCACGTGGATGTCGAGATAGATCCGAAGGAGAGGGGACAACCCTGTCAGGGCCTGTCAGGGCCTGCTAGCTGTTGCCCACCGAGCCACCTAGTTAGTGTAATTGTCCGAGGCAGCTTTGCTGACGGTCCCAGTCGCTGGCCTCGGCTTGTTGCCCCACTAAGTTCAAGACCACGCGCTGACCGTGCTGACATACACCTGGAGACTCCAAGACCATAAAAAGCATTGCAATGATATACCAGGACCTTCCAAGGGGTGCCCAATGGAAGCCCCTACACCACTAAGGGACCTCCATTGGACGCCCCTTGAAGGAGGCCATCGCTACTAGGGTGGAGGCCATTGGGTGCAACAATTTTTTGGACTTTTGGGGGAGCAAGCCGCGGCAAGCCATACTTGAGGGAGTCAGTTGAACACCTCCTCACTGACACCCCCGTGTAAAATCAGCGAGTCATTTGAGGGTCGAGGCCACGTCCGTGGCCGGCCAGGTGTCCCAAGCGGTTTTTTGTGTCCGCAATGCTGTTTACAGCTGTTCACATGTGGCCTCATTCCATGAGCCATGTTGACAGGAAGGAGTTGTTCTGGACGGGTGTTGTATCAAGAATCCCCCATACTACAGTGAGATCACTTTGTTTGCTGACATGTTCAGGTCATGGGTACGGTGTCTTGTCTTCAGATTGAATCAAGAGTTTCCTTCTAACTTTCCTGTCGTCACCAGCCATCCATCAACCACAGGAAGGACCAGGGGACCGGGGCTACCCACTTTCCAAATCATTTCTGCGGGGAAGCCGCCGAAGCAGCCGCCAGGACACCAGTGACTTGGCGGGAAAAGGCGGTAGCTTCTTGCTCCTAGTAGCGATGCCCTTGGTTTCTAGTAGCTTCTTGCTTCTATATAACCTCCTGACCTGCTTCATAGATGGACTTTTACTGCTATTGGTTGGTTGCTGAATCGAGGGGGTTGCTGAATCGCGTGAATCAGCAAGTTCGGTAGTATACCCGGCATCCCGGACGAATCATGAATCGGTCCCTGGAGTCGGTCACAGCTGTCGTGATCCGGCATGATGGACATAGATCATTCAGTAGCAAGTCACACAAAAAGGTGCAGAGATCATAGATTGTCATAGATCATTGATTCAATTCAGTTTATTGTGTCTCGAATTGCATCTAATCTATTTCTAAGAAAACTCTGTTTGAAGTCCGCATGAGGCTGGAGTTTGCTCATCCGGGCGACTTCGATTGGCAAGAACTGGCCACAAACACCGGGCGACACTCGCAGGTCTAGGCCCGGCTGGACGATTTTTGGAGAGACTTGTGGAGACTGATAGTAGACGCAAGAGCGCACTTGCCAGGTTCTGCTGACCAAAACGCCTTGTGATCCGGGATCGTTGCTTTTCAAGAGTAGCCTGTCGGGACTCCGGACTGCTTATATATATAGTTCTGCAAAGCTTTAGACATCCTTCATCAACCCACACTGTGCAGCCGAAGAATGCCAGTTGGCGATTGCCCCACTGGCTTTGCGCGTGAAGCCTTTGTTGTTGAGAGCTTTATATGTTTGTTCTACAAGATGGTTTGTCAATGTTGTCATCAGCCAAGGCAAAGTTCACACGTGATTATCCTTACCAACCTAGGATATATTTGGATATCATTGTACTTTGCTGTATGTGGACGAAGGGTGAGTCACACTGGCTGTTTAAAGAGAAAGATATAGGAAGGTGGCCTGTATGTTGTGCCAAAGTTCACACTTAGGCTTGGCCTTTACCAATAGTCCTCACCCAAGAGCCCCATTGCATTGTGATCCTCAGAGCCCCATGCGCCCTTGAGGCAACGCGATGCATGGAGAGATGCAGAGGATTCAGAGGTTCGTTGGGCCTAATGGTGTGCAGAGACGCGTCTTGCTGTAAAGTTGCTGGCCTGAATCTGTTACGCCACTTAAAGCGGCAAGCTGTGGTAGCGCAGCCGCTACGCCTGCATATGTAGTGCATAGTGCATAGTGCAGTGCATCAGTTCCAGGTCATGCACCAAGTGCATGAAACCATGTGCAAAGCACCTTCAGTCAGCTTGTGTTGCTCTCCGAATCCTTCCTAAGTTGCACAATTTAGCGAGTTTGATATGCAGAGATTGCTTTCTGCTGTGCTTGGAAGAAATGGAGCGAAAATGGTAGGCAGGACACCCGAAGGCAGTGAGCTGGCATTGGTGTGGCCAATACAACGTCGGAACAAGGAAAATGTGGCCATTCAAAGCAGCGGCCCGATTCTGCCTCCCTGCTGGTTTAGATTGGCGTGCTGTAGCTCTTCTCAGGCGCAAGAGAAGGCGGCCTCAGATTCAGAGGATGAAGAGGAGTGGAAGTCTCGGCGCTGAGTCGTTGAGTCAGTCTCTCTTGACTAAAGACATCTCAAATGGAGCAGGTGTTTTTTGAAGAGTTTACGGCCCCTTATGCTCACTCCAAGGTGTTTGCTGCTGCACTTGTATGATCATTGCACTACACTACTACGCTACTGCATAGCTTGTTGGTTCTTCCCTTCTTAGACTATTCATGACTATTCTACACCGGGCGTTTGAGGTCCATCAACCTTTTGACATAATTAGGTGCCACATTGGCTCACATGATGTTTGTGTGCTTGCGATTGCTGGTATGTCAAAAGAGCAGCACGTGATTCAACGGCCGCTCTTGGAACTCACGATTTTTGGTGGAAGTGGCGTTCGAAATGGCCCAAAGCTGTGAGATTAGTTTTTTGTGTGGCTTTGTGGTTGTCACATGTTTCCACATGTTTTAGGACACCCAAGGTTGGCAACTCCAAGATCATGAAGCGAGTCATCTTATGAGTCACTTTGCCCTTTGGAGTATGAAGCCCATGACTGGCCAAGTGGGGGGTCCAAACACTGAGCATCCACACCATCCTCCAAAACGATCGCCCAAACCGGTGGCTTTCGGACGAGCAGGAAGCCGAGCCATCATGTCATGAGCGAGGGGGTGCACGGCAACGGCCGTAAAACCGGGGGCCCGGCCATCGGTTCTTCATCGGGGGTCGAGCAAACCAGTTCCACACTCCACCTCACAGTCGATGCAAGTGGGAGAAACGCCAGCCTAGAGGCCAAGCCGCCCTGCCATGCGCTGCCTCGCGGGAGCATCCATGCGTGATCCACTTCGAGTTTCCTTGGTCCCAGGACGAGGTCTCACGTGCCCACCGCGAAAGCACCCAACGACGCCTTCGTGAGCTGGGCCAGCGTGGTGCCCAGGGACGTGATGTTCTTCGCATGGTGTGGGAGCAATTGGGAGTGAGAACTGGCCTATAGAACTCCCAATCGATATACAATGTTTTGGTACTCCATTCCGTTCATGTTGGGGGGGTCAGCCAGGGTCGTTTTGTGACCCCACCAAACCACGTTGGCGCCGTGTTGCCGGCCTCTTTTGCTCGAAAGCTCGAGCGAGAACCGTCGACCCAAGGCCTGCCACCTTCTTTGCCGAGACGGATGCTGAACGCTGGGACAGGTAAGGGGTTGGGAGCTTTCGTGAGCCCGCCCGACGGGTTCACGAATTCATGTCGGCCCTGTTGCTTCGCTGTCAGCGTTCGCTGGCAGCCAGCTCTTCCTGCCTTGGGGGTCCCCACGGGTAGAGACGTGTAGTTATACAGTTATACACGTGAATATATATAAATAACATAATATAACCGCGTGGGTGTTGAGTCTGTTCGGTTGCTTATGACATCGGCATCCAAGGAATGAAGCACTGCGACTCCGGAGTTGCAAAGGGGGTGTTTAGTCCCGAAGTGAGTGGATAATATGATAATGGGCATCAAACTCGCATGCGGACAGTTGTCTTGCCTGGTAGAAGGCTCCCGAACCGGAGTTCTTTTGCTGCAGTGGGAGGGGGCCGGCCCCCTGTTGTTCAGTGCCCCTGTATTCAGCTTTGCCTTGGACGTCCGCGGCTGTTGGCCCCTGCAGTCTAAGACCATAAGAACCATTAAGAACCTGGACATCTGAAGCACTGGACGGTGGGCTTGGGGGAGAGAGTCGCGAGTTTGCTTGTGGAGTTCTACTGCACGTCTTGCGTTTAAAACGTTTGGAGACATTTTTTGCGGACCAAACACCGGTGTCCTGGTGTCCAACTCCCCTGCAGACGGGTCATTCGGATTCTGGGTCTCGATGGACCACCGGTGACGGTGCAATTCAAGAAGGGTCCGATGATCTGTTTGAATCGACCTCCACAGCGATGGATTCGTTTTCGTTTTGATCCGATCTCCTGACGAGGCTGCAGAGATGCGAACTGAATCGTGACCAGGAGCAGCGGTTGGGGAGTGTTGGGTTTGAGTCCGGCAGCCGAAAACTACTCGGAATTGTGTTAGTTGACTACAAGGAAGATACAAGTATAATAAGCATATATAGTTTCTCCAAGAATTTGTTGAGAAGCTTAGGATTCCAGGTTTAGCTTCTAGTTCTCGCCGTGTGATTTCAGCATGTAGCTTGGCTCAAAGCCAACAGGCTGAGCTCAAATGCGCCCATGCGCAGGATGTCTTGGCGGATGGCTCCACAAACGCTGAACACCAAGAGATTCATTTAGATGAGTCAGCGGTTACCGTATAGTTCTCGCCTAGCATGTTCTAGCTTTTTACCTCTAAAGCAAAGCAGAGGCCGCTGGCAACATTCTGGCAGATCGATCCTTCTGATTGAAGCCAAACAGCTTTGGACAGCTCGTGAGTGAGGCTCTTGAGTAAGACCTATGCAGACGAATTCTTGCCCTCTTCGGCTGCTTCGGCTCAGGTCATGCAAATTCTGGACCGACGCCAGCAGCGTGAGCGAGAGGCACTGGCTGATCTAGAAGCCAAGAAGAGAGACTCTGGAGGGCAGATGAATAATGTGATCGAACGTGTGGTTAAGGACCGTTTAAGATGTCGCACCATACGGTTCCTAGACAGCAGAGTTCGATCCAGTTTCGGAAGTGGGTGCCCAACATAGCGCCACGAAGAGCTATGTTGGCTCTTGGCTTTGCTTGGACTTGCTTGGCTTTACAGGCTGCTGGTGGCATCCGTGGTACTGACATTGTGGATGCCGAGGCCGCTGGAGTCAATACTCCACTGAGTTCTCCATTCATGGCTCTCCATGCTGCTGATTCCAAACACCTCCGCATACACACCTCCGCCTCAACGCTTCGCGGAAAGACCGTCCACAGATGCTTTATAAGACTCAAGGACCTTTGTTCCTAGTAGCTTCTTGTTCCTAATAGTAATGCCAGGAGCTACTAGTAGCATCCTTGCTCCTAGTAGCGATGCCCTTTGTCCCTAGTAGCTTCCTTTTCCTAGTCTTGCTCCTAGTAGCGATGTCCTTTGTTCCTTTGTAATGCCAGGAGCTACTAGTAGCGTCCTTGCTCCTAGTAGCGATGCCCTTTGTTCCTAGTAGCTTCTTGTTCCAAGAAGTAATGCCAGGAGCTACTAGTAGCGTCCTTGCTCCTAGTAAGGGTGCCCTTTGCTTCTAGTAGCTTCTTGTTCCTACTAATAATGCCAGGAGCCACGTAGCGTCCTTGCTCCTAGTAGCGACACCCTGCGTTTTATAGTAATGCCAGGAGCTACTAGCAGCGTCCTTACTCCTAGTAGCGATGCCTTTTCTCCTAGTAGCTTCTTGTTCCTAGTAGTAATGCCAGGAGCCACTAGTAGCGTCTTTGCTCCTAGTAGCGATGCCTTTTGTTCCTAGTAGCTTCTTGTTCCTAGTAGTATTGCCAGGAGCTACTAGTAGCATCCTTGCTCCTAGTAGCGATGCCCTTTGTCCCTAGTAGCTTCTTTTTCCTAGTCTTGCTCGTAGTAGCGATGTCCTTTGTTCCTTTGTAATGCCAGGAGCTACTGGTAGCATCCTTGCTCCTAGAAAGGGTGCCCTTTGCTTCTAGTAGCTTCTTGTTCCTACTAATAATGCCAGGAGCCACGTAGCGTCCTTGCTCCTAGTAGCGATGCCCTTTGTCCCTAGTAGCTTCTTTTTCCTAGTAGTAAGGCCAAGAACTACTAGGAGCGTCCTAGTAGCAATGCCCTTTGCTCCTAGTAGCTTCTTGTTCCTAGTAGTAATGCCAGGAGCTACTAGTAGCGTCCTTGCTCCTAGTAGCGGTGCCCTTTGTTCCTAGTAGCTTTTTGTTTCTAGCAGCGTCCCTTGCACCTTGTTGCTGGAAGATCTAGACTTTGAATTGAAATCTCTAGACCCCAGATTCTTCTCAGGGAGTCAATGCACCTCTTTTGGGCTTCCTTTGCACCGTGCCGCCATCAAAGCAACTACACTCCCGCAAAGATCAGAAGTGGGTGACGAGAGCGTGGGGACTTGTAATGTTGACTGTTGATTCAACGACCCCCCCTTAAGGAAATAATAGGAGTAGCAATACCCCATGGACATCCTCGATTTGTGACCCATCGCAGTACCCAATCGCATGTACACTCTGACGAACACATCGCAAAAAAAAGCATGTTAGTTTGCGAACAGGTGATGCCATCCACGTCCATGTGATGTGTTCGTGCGAGCGATCTGTCATCGACAGGACGCCGAATTCGCCGCGCTGGAAGGGACCGTCTCGCGCCACGCTCGGGGAGCTCAGTGGGGCGTCCGTGTCGTGAAAAGCCCAGACCATCCATGTATGGAATGTATGGAATAGTTACCATTGGGGTCATAAATGGGGTAAATGGTAAATGTATGTAAGTTTTACATAACTATTCCATTCCCTATGGGCTCCAACCATATCCTCAAAAGATGGTTGGACTGTTAGATCTCCTAAACCCGCAACAACCACCTTCCAGTCCCATTGCGAACTGGTTAAAGGGGGCTTCGCATTCGTCTGGTCGGCTCCGTTGGCTCTGTTTCGACCCTGGAGGTCGACAGGAGACTGGAGGGCACGCTCCACCATGCCGAGTTATGTTTTTCAAGATTGAACATGGTCCCCCAAGTCCGACTTGACCAGTGCGACGATTTCGTAGGGCCATTTCGGGTGGCTGGATCCATATTGAATCCCTAAGAAGGGAGCGAAACTTCCCTTCTTCGCGACTAAGCACCAGTCAGTCTGGGCCGAACTGTCATCCACAGGTTTTCCCATCAGGTCCTGTTGCCCTGAGGTTGTTTTCTTCAGGGCACAAAGTCATGCGAAGTAAGCGAGGCCAGTGGCCTACGTGATCTCACCGTAGTGGCCTAGGGTGGGGTCACATTCATGGTCAAGTATAGGTTGAACAATGTTGAACGATGTTGAATGGATCATATCATGTGCAACATGATTCAATGTACTACCTACCAATCTACAACCTCCTACGATGTACTATAATGAATGTGTTCATATGTATTCAATTTTTACCTGGATCATGTAATGGTTTTTCCATCAGGTGAGTTGCACATGGCTACCAACTAGTCCAACCAGGTATACTTCTGAATGGTGGCATCTGGTGGTAGACATTTGCTTGGGTGCCGTGGTCATTTTGAGTCAAAGCGTTGACCATCACACTGGAAGTCCAGGGTCATAGATCCGTGTTTGTTGTAGCTTCTGTCGATCTGCCGACGGGGAAACGGTCCTTCCCTGCAATCATCAATCATGCAAGACCTTTTGGCCCTTTGAGGAGCCCATCGAACAGGATAGCGCATCTGAAGAAGAAGGAGGCCTTGGCAGCCTTGTGTGTTTGAAGATGGTGGTTGCGATCACCTTGCAGCCAGGCAGTTTGATGCAAGTCTGTAATATTCCAACAACTGTTGGATGCGATGATCTATGATGCACGATTCCAGCGCCGCATGCGCAGACGGGGCGGCCCGTGTTTCGATTATCTGAGTGGAATGCGTTCAAATCCCACCAGTGACTTGGCGACTTGGCCGTTGTTTCTTGCCGAGTCAGGTCACAAGTGTGAGAGCTTCTTTGCCCTAAATTAGGCTTAGGCTTCTTTTGGGAACATCGGCATTCGGACCCAAATGTTTCACAGTTTGTGTCAGTTAGATTAGTATAATTTATAGTTATATAGATTAGTTAGTGTTAGTTCAGCGTTCAACTGCATGTCATGTCTTAAAACATCTATCAAGGGTATTCCGACATATTCCGACTGTTTGTTCAGATGTCCTTCGTAATCACTTAATGACTGGCAGGCCCACGGCTGGCCGCAGTGCTTGGGAAGGACACGGAGCGTGACAAAGAGGCAGAGGAGGCCGGGACAATGCAACAAGCTGTTCAGAACGGGGGCTTCATTTAGCAGCGCATCTCGAATTCAGACTTCAAATCGTATGCCTTTCTTTACGTTCTCAAAGCCACATCATCACAATGTTCTTCCGCGTTACTTCAGAAGCAGCTGGACACGCGACACGGGCTCGCGTGCGTTTGCCTGCAAGGCCCAGAAGAAGTTGGATGAAGCCTCACATGAGGTGACATCGTGGATCCGTAGCATGTCCTCCTGCTCAGACCTTCAGCGGTCGTGCAACTCGGGATCGTGTGCGACCTTCGGCGAGTCCGCGTGGTGGAAGCTTTTGGGTCGATGCAGGTTGCCGCTTTTGGCGGCCTCAGTTCATCTCAGTTCACAACAAGAATCGGGTGGTCTTGGCAGAGCATACGGAGGGCCCTTGGGGCTGTCCGCGAAAAAGACAGGTGGGATCTGAAGGGCTACAGATTACAGATTTGTCCTCTCATCAGGTCTTTTGCCGCCACGTTTCGGAGAAAAACACACCATCCCCAGCTGGACACAACTTGTTGGAATCACTCCTACAGTCCTACAGGGTACAGTATCAACTCATTTTCCTCAAGCTTGAATGAGTGTGGCTGAGATGTCTAGTTCAGTGGCTGAAGTTATCCTGGCGGCAGGACAATGAGGCTTCGAGGCCATTATACATTGCACTTTGAACTCGAAAGGAAGGCAGACAACAACCCTGCTGCGGCCCACGTCCAATTACAAAGGAACATGCACTTACCAGACCCAACATGTTGCAAGATGATTTCCTGTACCAGGGGTGGCCCAGGATTGATTTATGTAACAATTTATATACTGTACTGTATGTATACATATTGAGTTTCCAGGCTACCGCCTGCAGCTGCTGACCCGGGACCACGTGCAGGGAAGAACAGCAGCGGTTGGAATTGTGTATGCGGCCATGTGTAGTGTGAGTAGTGTGAGCCAAGAATGACGGCAAGGGCGGCGATGGGAAGCTGGGAAAGGCCGGCTCCGGGACGCGCAATGCAGGCCCACAAGACAATGCATAAGGCCCTGCGGCGGTGTGCAGCTGACCTTTGAATCGCGAGCTCAGAAGCAATGTGGTGCAACAACAGGAATGCAGCAGGGTACCAGAAATATGGGACTCAATAAGGCCTCGTGACTCGTGTTGAGCAATGGCAGTGGCACCTTTTCTGTGCAGCCGTTGTAGTCACTATAGTGTTGAACTGAGCAGCTGCTGCAGGTGTTTTTTGGCTGCTAAGCTATGTTTGGGGATCAGAGAGGGCACGTCAAGTGTCTTGGTAGTGTAAGTTCTGTTGTGACACCTGTTTGAGTAACGTTGGAGCTGTAAGCAAGGTTGAAGGGGCAAAGAGAAAAAGACTCTGTCCGTGGGGAGAAGTGCAAGGCTTTGCCCATGGGGACGCGTGAAGTATATGTACAGAAGAAATGCTAGAGCAGCGGCGACGTACCCGCAGGAAGAGGGCTGTGCCCATATAAAGACTGCTGGCCGCAATAGCCTCTCACACGTGGGGCAGGAGGTTCTTAACATCTGCCAATTTGCGCCTGACTCACATTGCAGACCCTTCTCGGTTGTGCAACTTCAGCAAGCCCTACATAGACGTGAGGGAATACTTTAAAAAGACAAACAAAAACCAGAGTCCCTCCTTGAGTATGCAAATTAATCGTTCGGTGATCATTTATAAGATTTTATAAGCAGATCACAGAGGTGTGCCCCTCAAACATTTGGAACAAATAATCAAGGTTCCTTCACAGCCAAGGGGCCTTGATGCTGGACAGTGATGGGAACTTTGAGTGAGGGGAAAGCTATTGATGTATGTAACTACCAATGAGTTTCTTATATAGATCATCGGATCACGACAGGTCAATGAAAGCAGACCTCAGACCTGGGGATAGGTGCTGAAAAAATCCGCGCAGCCGTGAGCATTATATATTGAATATTGACCAAAAAGTGGCTGACATCTCATGTATTTTGGATTGGATCCCTGCATAGGCTCCATAAATTGCAAAATTGACCACGCCAGACCCCACTCATCCTACGCACGCTTCCACGTGACTGAGTGCGGGTCGGCGGATACATCCTACGCAAATAACGCACGCCTCCACATAACTGAGTGGGGTCAGTGGAAATTATAGTATATCTATAAATATACAAAAATACATATATATATGTTATACTCATATAGGATATGTAGGTCGTGCGCGCATGGGTGTCAACACCGCCAGCGCCGACCCACCGACCCCGGCCAGCGCCGAGGCTCCGCGCCTGGGAGGCGGATCTCACCAGCCGGTCCCCGGGCGAGGCTCGGTGAAGGACGCAGGTGACGAGCTGCAGATCTCTCGAGGCGGACAGGTGGACGTGATGTTTGTCCGAGTTCTACGTGTGGAGAGGTTGTTCGGGATGGTTCAGTGTGTTGTTTTTCCCGTGCGTGTTTCCCACTTCCAGATCTTCCAGGATTGAGGGATCGGTTCAGGTTGCAGATGCTTCTTTTGAGGCATTTTCAGGACCTGGGGCCGTTGACGTCGTGGTTATGGGACTTGGTGTGTCATCTCCGTCAACGTGGGACTGGTGGAGTCACTAATGCCAACGAAGAGTTGCCGTACCCGTGCTTTGCAACAAACGAGAGGGCCTAGGGCAACCCCCAGAGCTCGTGGAGTCTTACTGTAGAACATTGGTCACCCGCCCCAGCTGAACGCGAACTTGGTCTCGACACATGTAGCCTCAAGATAGGGCCAGGAGTGACAGAAGCCCCTGGAAGACCCCATGGGGCAGGCACCAAAATGGGGTGCCCCAAGATTGGCCAGTATGGCAGCATGGCAAGGCAACAACAGCAAAAATCACAAGTCCAAAATTGATTGAATTTACAAGTGCAAAGTGGTTTTAGCCTTAGGATTAGGACATGCCAGCAAGTGCACGTGCCGCGATTACATGATAGACATGCTGTGCACCTTGGTCGCACCATGGGAGTGGGCAAGCCTTCTGACACGTTCCCAACACCCAAAGCTTGAAGACATTGGCGGGCACAGGAACTTGTTTGCTTGAGAAGATGAAGACATTTTGTCACTATAGCCTCTATACTAGAGAGTGCAAATGACCCTGGATTGATGTTGGAGGCTTGTAGGACATGGCAGGACATCCCATGCCCAGTCTCACTGCGCCAAGCGAGCCAAGACCATGCCCGGATTGGCCTCGTCTTCCTTTGCCTCCTGGGCATCCAGACTGGCATTCAATGGGTTCTTAAAGGCTTGGCTTTCGCACATGTTTTGTTCAGATTTGTTCTACTTTGTCATTTTGCCATTTCGTCTGGAAGAGCCCAGCCGGCTCTTCCTTTCGCAAGCCACTGCCTTTCGCAAGCAGCTGATCTGATCAATCCTGATAGGTAGGGTCTATGTTTCACCCTTCTTTTTGAAAGCGGAGGATTTCAGTCATATGATATGTGTAGTGTGTGTGTGTGTGTGGGAGTTTCAGTGATATAACAATTACTCTACTTCAGACTTCAGTCATATTACACAAATACAAATGATATCATAAATCTGTGTGTGTATGCACACGCCAATGTGTCTCCACACAGGTAGTCCTAGAAGCCCTGCTTTCCGGCCACGGCCGGCCCCCGGTCGATCCGGTCCATCCGTTGCAGGCGACCCCACCGGGACCCCACGGGACTTCGGGGACTTCGGACACAGCCCGGGGCTGGGGGTCCTTCGGCCCTGGAGGGGCCGGGAGGCTTGGGGTGGGGTATCCCGGGCCGGGAATGGCTCGGAACGGGCATCGAGCGAGGTCGAAGCAGGGCATTTGAAGCTGTTAGCACGAATTCACCGAATGCAGAGCTCTTTCCACATGTCACGGGACATGTGCCTTTGGGCTGCAAGGTGATTCAGCGATGGAGGGGGAGTGAATGAGGAAAAAACCGTGGTACCTGTGTGTTGGTGCACCCAGGCTTGATCTCACACGGAAATCCACGAGACCCGGGGCAACACGACGTGCAGCAATCCAACGTCGTGTTGCCCACGGTGCTATATTCTGTAAGCTGTGAGCATGGTTGAATGAGCTGCAACCTGCCACGAGAAGTGGGCCTTCCCAGCCCTCAGCCGGTTGAAAGCCTTGCCCCAAAAAAAGACCTTACCGCCTTCCTCCAGCACACATGCGGAGTTTCCAAGTTGGCTACAGGTAGAGGCCATTTCTTGCAAAACCATCTCTCCAGAATGCCTGACCTCACAGCAGAAAGAGTCCCAAAAATGCTTGGTATCGGTCTTCTACTCATGGTGCCTCCTTTCGTCCACAAGTCGTACACTCATGGAGAGCCCAGCACGTGTTGATGTGTGGTTGCCCTACTGCGAGCCCAGACATCCCTTTTAACCATGTTTAAACCACTTGGGATGCACAGAGGGTGTTTTTACACCACAGGGTGGCTTGGCATGTTTGAGCCGCTCCTGTAACGCATCGGACGGCCCCTCAAGACACCCGAGGCTCCAGCCGAAACACACCGCGGTTCGAGGGCCCAAGCAGACCAATAAGTTCTGGGCGAATTGGCCGCGTGGCAGAACTGAGAATATGTGAACCCATTCAGCAAGCCTTCAAGGCTTGCTCCCCCAAGCCACTGAGAGATTGAACGCGTCACATACTGATGATACTTAGCAGTTGAGGATGTGTAGGTGGTAGATTCTGTCATTTGCCTTCCAAGGAGGCGTTTGCAAATGACGTACTTCCTATTTGAGTGGATCCTGGTCCACTTGCGGCAGATACTCTTTGTATCTCTTTGATTCTCTTCGTAGGTCGTCATGAGTCAAACTAAATACAGACCACCTCTCCTGGCAGTCAGGCCCGTGTAGCGTGTCGAATCCAGCGGTCGACAGTTCTGAAGAGGGGGGAACAGGAAAAGACTGCAGTTTTGGCGGCAAGAGTGGTGCTGATTTACTGTAAGAAATGGGAAGCCTAAACCGGATCAGTGCGGGAGTTTTGTTTCTCTAGACCAGGTACTGTGGGATTTAATGCTGCTTAGTGTATTTTTGTGTGATTTGTGTTCCTACCCTGTCCAAGAAAAACATAGAAGAACGCATCCCCATTGGGCGGAATCACTATCCGCTAGCCTTTTGCCGCCAACCTTGTTGTGACTCATCATCCGGTTCCAATGCGTCAATGGGCAAAAGATTATTCGGGCAGGGCCGGAAGTCAAAGCACCGAGAGTGTGAGTGTCCTTTGCTGGTTTTTCTTCCGATCTTGGTTGGTTCTGGTATCGTGGCAAAGCGAACGCACAAAAATTATACCAGCATAGACCCCAAACAGTTTCAAAACGATTCGTTGGGACCAATATTCGTCAAAAGCGACTTCTTGATACGCCCTACCTACCTTCCCCCCAAGAGCAAATTGCTTTATCAATGATTTTTGTCGGCATCGACATCGCTAATTGTTCGGCCATAAGAGAAGACAAGAGAAGAGCAGGACAAGAGGAGGACAAGACCCGGCCACACCCAGGAATACACAAAGACACCCCAACTGGCCGGTGGCATCAGTCAACTTACATCATCATGACCAGTCAACTATATGTTTGAATGTGACCATGTGCTTCATGAATCCTGTCAACAGCCGAGGATCATTTCAGATCCAGTGGTATCTCGGCTTTACGTGGCAAGGCTGAGGTTTTCTGCAGCAGCCTGGGCAGTGGAGACTGCCGTTTGAGCTGAAAACAGGGGGAAGTTTGGAGGATTTTCTCCGTACCAAAACGGTGACTTGTTCCCATTTGGCTTGGCATCCGTTGATTCTTTCTCCACAATCTAAGCTTGGTCTCATAAGCATTCATAAGCTGTGACCGCTTGTTTGGCCCAGACTTCGGTAAATGAGGTGTGGATGTCAGTTCCTACCAGCAGACCGCAATTTGATTTGTTGGACAATATAATATAATATAATGTAACATAATATCATATGTATATATATATATTTATCTATGAATACTTGTATCGGATCCATTGGATAATTGCCTTTGTTGGTCGGTGTTCTTCCAGCTGTGGTGTAGAGCCGATTTTGGACAGTCGGAAACCTCTAAGACTTGAGACGTGTTCTTGCTCATGCAGCTGGTATGGGCCGTGCATGTAAGCACGGCCAAGTTGAACCCAGGCGGGTTTCTCTGAAACCATTTTACTGCTTGAGGGCCAACTTTTGGCAGCAACGCTTGAACATGTTGGTGCTCAGCAATGCTCAGCACAAAAGGGACAGACCACACCATCCGTTGAATGTGCTGCATGCTTTGCCCTGCAAGTGCTCAGCTCACGGCAGCCGCATTGAACCCACCCAAAGAAAACGAATCGCTGTCTTCTGAATTGAGCATCCCTGAGGCTGGCAATGGAGCAGTGCATGCAATCTATCCGATGCCTTACGTGCTCAAGCTGGGAAGCAGCCGTGAGCCACTGGCACCAAAAAAGAATCAGGTGTCGCATGTAGCCTCATTGATACCAGGCCAAGTTCTGAACAACACCATGGTTTTCCTGCTTTGATATTATAGCAGTGGGGCAAAACCTAGCCCCAGCAACCCTTGACTGTGGTTTTAATGGGCTGTTTTCCTCCTCGTGGACTGCCACAGCTTCCAAGTCGACAGTCACTTCGCGTCTCGTCCTGTTCGTCCGTCCGAGGCTGAAGGCCTCGCAAAATCCGGAGGCCATGATGTGGTATCAGGCGATCGTTTCACCGGTCGGTGTTCCGGTGTTCCCGCGGAGCGGTGGTGTTGTTTCACCGGCGAGGTCGCTGGCGGTGGGCAAAAGCCGGCGGTTTGAGTCGGATTTTCGTCGGGGGGTGTGGTTGGCGGTGTCGACTTGAAGGGGGGTGATGGCTTTTAAAAACTTGAGAGGCCAAGTGACCAATCATTCATTTTCTAGCAGATGATGTCGTTTGGGATGGTTTACTCATCGACCCGAAAAGTGTTCAGGCATTATTCTGGGATGGGTGTTATAAAAAATCAACAATCCACATCAGTTAGACTTGAATAAATTCGATTACTGTAATAAAGCCTGCCAATATGAAGAGATTGAAGAGGTTTTACAATCCCAAAGGGGGACGCTATTACTCAAGAGGCTACATTGTGACATCAGCTAGTCAACACACGACAGCTTGCGGCCTCTCCTCACTCTCAGGGACTAGGACTAGTAGCTTGTAGCTCGGCTTGCTTTCTTGGCGAATTCTCATGGAGAGAGAGAGATTCGGTGTACATTCATGGCCAGGAGCCCCTAGGCCCGTTCGTTCCGTCCGTCCGTGGCACATGTTTGTGTTTCTTTTTCTTGGAGATCAACAAGAAGACCTCGACCGATGGAGGATGGGCGCCTGATGAACCGCGATGGCTCCCGCTTGGAACTGTACCGGACCGCCTTCGTGGGGGAGTTTGGCCTCGGTGCTGTGGAGATTGGAGGCCTCGGTGCTGCGGGAGGTGTTTTTTCACAGATGGAGGCAGTCCAGAAAGGCTGATGCAGGCAGGATGTGGATGTATGTGGTAAGATATTTGGTATTCATATGTATTCATCAAAAAAGTGGTCAAGTAGCTGTTGAATCACACAAATACATTGTGAAATATGTGCGCCATCATGGATTATGACGTGAGCACGCCAGCCGTCCAATATGTCGACTGGACTGTTGCCAGGGCAGCATGACTTCCAAATCATCAAGGAAGGCGAGGTGACAGATCATTGACGTGAAGATAGACGATGCATTCTTATTTTACTGTGGTTTCAAAGGAGAGAAGGCACGAACCCCAAGACTTTTAGATGGGGGTTCCGTATGGGTCCACAAGAACGCTCAATCCCAAACGAGGCCTCAGGCGTGACCAGGCAGAGTTTCTTTGACGTATTTGGGGTTCATGAAGGCAACACGATACAACCATGAACGAGATGTGCTCGGGCTTCTTCACTCAGGTCAAAGGGCTGGTCATGTCACGTCGTATGCCCGGCCTTGTCACAGGATTAAATACGTTTATGTCTAATAAGTTCCAATAATATATACTGTACACTTAAACTATTTATGTATGCATGTACATACACAAAAATAAAAGTATGTTGTCACAAAATTGTTATTGTTTCGGGTGAAGGATGGACATGCACAAAATACCAGAAGCAAGGGCGAACCAATGCCATTTTGCAAAAGCCCAGCTGGAACCACAGAAGCATTAAAGCATAACCAAGCTTGTATGGTGCTAGCAACAGCTTTACTCACTGCAACAGGGCATTTCACAATCCAGGCTGCATCACACCACTGTGACCGGTGCCAACCCCAACAGACCAACAGTGGAAGCTGCTAGAACCTGATCGACCTGATGGGGACTCGACATCAATTCAATCATAGTGGATCGAGAGTAGATGGCACTGGGCCCCCAAGATGTCTTTTATATAGAGGTCCAGACAACCCAGGAAAAGCCTCAAACAAATTGCAGCTCGTCAAGGACGCTTGGGACGCTTGGGAGCTTGGACCCCGGCACTTGCAAGGCACTTGCATCCCCCTGAAGTCTTTGAAAGACGTAGATGCCTCTCCTGAAACAGACAACCCCAGCACCCATGGGATGCACGAGTCAACTGGTGCTCTTTCAGGCGTCTTCGGCATCCATGTCGAGGTTCGAAACCCCACGGCCAACGTGTCCATGATGTACCCAATCTATAGCTGCTTGGTCGCTTCACTCGGGAATTCCGCGTGTTCCGCCTCATGCAATTCCACACAATGTCTGACTCCACGCCGTGTCTCCTGGGTGGAGACACGTCGATCGAAGTTGTGAGCAGACGAAAGCGGTGGAACACGCGCAAAACGACGTTGGGATTGAGGGTTTCCGCCGCAGGCAGAGAGCTGAACACTGGAAACGCTTTTGCCGAAGGATTGACCGTTTGAGGACGTCGGTGGCGGTTTTGCCAGGTGACGTTGGTGATGGCATCCTGGTTTCTGTCATTTGAGAGTAGTTCTGTATGAACCAGCCAACGTTGCACATTGCAATCTTCACCTGCCCTAGCCGGCGACTTCGCACTTCTCATTCGCATTTGGGGTAAAACAGGTTCAGTGGAACCAACCAAAATAACTTACACACGAATCTTATCACATATAACTTCAAGCTGACTTCGTTTGTATCTCTTCAGTTTATTAACTACAGTTGGGCACTTGACTCCATGTATCCTCCTTCCACTCGTTGGTGAATCGCCATCACGATTTGCCAAGGAGATCTAGGTCCTCGAGACTCTCAGTGAATCAGGTTAGATTTAACACCATTGCGGAGATGACGGGGTTCTAGCAATCAGTCTACATTATGGTGAACCGAAGCTAGTTGGTGAGTCCTTCATTTGCTCACCGTCAGAGCTTGCCCCTACGGTTTTGGCGGGCACGAGAGCTTGTTCGTTCAGGTGGGATGGCCTATGTCTCCGCGCGTTACACGGGCGCCACCCCAAAGATCACAACGGTGCTTTGGCAGAAGAGCAGGGTCAAGTTTCCTAGAACCTGAGCTCGTATCCTAGACACAATGGAGAATAATATGATAATATATAGATCGAGGTAAATATACCTACATTGACAAGACCACCCTAATGTAGGTAAATATGTTATACATGGAGTGTTTGGATATAGAACCCTTGAGTCTTGAACCATCTTGAACCCCCAAATTATATCAAATTACTGTAATTTTTTAAATGTGATAGAGAGTCCTTGTATGCAATGTAGTGTAACGTATATATTGTGTTATGCACTTTGCACCAGAAAGAAGCCGCGAACAGTAGCACTCATGATTTGCAAATCAGCTTCTCCTCGCCCCAGGAGCGAAGCCGCTTCGGGGACGTTTTTGCCTTCAATAACCTGGTGCAAATCAGCAAAGGTGTTTGGAGCGTGTCAACAGGCTGGTTCACGGCCAGCTCGGGGGGTGTTCTATTGCAAAAGTCGATGAATCATATGGTTTTGTGTCGGTTGTCCCACTACCAGTAACATATGCAACATCCAGTATATAACAGTCAGTAAAAGACTATCACTATTTTGGAGAAACGCCTTTACTAACAATCATCACCCCCACTGTTGCTGGCATGATGTGCTCCCCTCACAACTCTTGGCCCAAATCCCAAAAGCTGTGTTTGGCAAACCTCACCCCAAAAAAGACAAACTTGGGAAATATTCACAAGGAGTTCTTAGTGGGAAAGCCAAGAGTAAGGACAAAAGTAGTGGACAGAGAGTGCGACTCTCCCTATATATGATATGTACTGATACACCTAGAAACTCATAAGACCTTTGTTTTGATAGGAAAAGATCATGTTCTAGGTATAAATAAAGATACATTTCTTGCCAGCACGATTGAGTGCTGTGCCAATGGTGACTAAGAGCGGCCAGTAGGAATGCCAAAGCACCTAGAATATGGGACAACCGTGAACAATCCCAAAAGCCAGTGTAAGGTCGGGGAAATACTTGTTACAGTACAAGCTATGCATACGCAATGGCGAGCATACACTGCGTACATTGGAGATGCCAGGCTTCCATCACCTGAGCCCGCAATCAGCGCAGCTCCGAATCTACCTGCTGGATGCTGCTCGGCCAATACGCTGCTCGAGCCGAGCAATGGAACAGAGCATGTTTTTCAGAACAACAAAGCCAGAAAGCCGTGCCAAAAGTGCCAAAACGGAAAGCGAAACCAGGCTGAAATAAAGCCTTATCAGTTTAGCTTTTACTCCAGATGCACCATGTGACCTTACATGCCACATTGACGTTTGCCAACTAGCTGTTCCATTGACGTTGTGCTACCAATCTGACCGGGCCAAGCTGTAAAGAAACCGCAAAAATGAGACGATGCGAGATTACAATAGAGTTTATTTTAATGAAAATGCAATGGAAAAACAGTTATGTTTTTATATTGTTTCCATATGTTTCTGTCACAACAACCGTGCTGAGCTCCATTTCGCTTCATCTCCTCCCAGGCCGACTTGGGTTTTGTCGACGATTCCTTCCAGTTGGAGCTGGGGTGTCATCCCAGCAGCACAATGTGGCCTTTTTGGGACGGGGGAATGGGGGACTTCAAGATTGCTTCTCTACTGAGGGCCGTAGTCGCTTCTTGTTACGTTCGTAGCGATGGCCTCCAACCTACTTGCGATGGCCTCCACCTAATAGCGTTCTTGCTACAATGGAGGAGTGCGATAGATTCAACCAAACATAGTTGGTGAAGGTAGTAACTGAAAAATGCGCCCTTTCCGGAAAGGAAATCATTGAAGCGCGCACGCAACCCTGTTCTGTTATACATATAAAAATATTAAAGATAATTGTTTGACTAGATAGATTCGATTAAATTGGTTTGAAAGATCCACTTAAGTGGAAACCGATAGATAAATGTATATAGTAGCGATAGGTCGAAACCACGAGGCCTTTGAGATCTCAAGATGTTGTCACTGTTGCAGATGACGGGTTTTCGCAGCACGTTGCCGCATGTGTGGCCAAGCTGGAGCTGCCGCGGCAAGCCGCGGTTCCAGACTGAGAGGATCGATCGAGCTGAGAGAGGCATATATCTCTGTCTAGCCCAAAATAGGTCAAATCCAAGGTTATCCGATTAAAATATAGATTTATACATTGAGATATTTATTTTAATATTTAGAATCAAATTAAGACGCTAAAAAAGCATTTCCAAGCAAACCAAGACCGACACCGGGTCCTCCAGTTGTTTGTGGTGTTTGGTGTCATTTGTACACCAGCAGCACAGCAGCGACCGAAAGAATTCTGAACATTTTGTCACTCTGCATTGTTTGCGAGGTCTGGCGGCATCCAATTCCAAAGCTTTACCACGAGTATCCCTGTCTTTGTATAGCTCTTTCAGACACAACTTGTGACCCCATGGTTCACCTTTATGGGTGTGGCTCATGGAAGAAAGACCTCCTGCGATGCCACTAGTTGAACAAGCTCCAAACAAGCCAGTCAGCCAGACTACCTGAAACCTCTTCCTCGAAATGCTGGACGTCCTGTGCCACGCTTGCTCAACGTCCTTCGCCAGGCGAGCGGAGCTGCCTCCTGCTGAACCGGCCGCTGACCGGCTGGGTCCGCGCCGCCCGCGTCCTCGCGCCGCGGGACGTGGAGACACTGGACCTGCATGCACCAGCCATCCCAGTGGGTTGGGATTTGCAAGTGCCCCAGCTGCAGGTGCTGTCCATGGTTCGTATCACGTATGGCGCGCTGCAGTGAGGGCATTGAGGGCAGTAGGTCTGACGGCTGGGGGAAGTAGGCCTTCCCACAGTGCAATCTACAGTGTGATGATCATGATCTACAGTGTCTATAATGTCTATAGCAAGAGGTTTGGTTTCGGGGCTGGGTGTCTCCAAATGATATTCTACTTGCTGCTCGAGCTTGAGTCAGATCTTGCAGACAAATCTTCCTTGCCTCCAGCCCATCCAGAGCCCCTCAAGCCCCGTGTTCGCAGTCCATGATGAGATCACCCCACAATCGCCGAAGAGCATTCATATGCATTCATGCTCAAACCCATGAGATCATGGGGTGGAAGTGGATTAGGCGCACAGGTTGTGGCTCCAAGCCTTGGCAACCACTAGGCAGGGCTCAAACGCCTCAGCAGTTCATTTTCCCTGTGCCTCGCTGAGATGGAAGACCAGGGCCACGTGCGGTACAAGTTTGAGGTGGCCGGAGGAAATTCTTCTCTGCCAAAGCTGCTTCATTGGGCTTATGTGCCGAGACAGCACATGCTCCATGGATCTCCATGGGGCACATGCTCTCCCGCTGCGGACGCCCGAGTTGCTCTATGCTAAGCATGTGGCAGTCCCGGTGGTCCGTCCATGCCACATGTCTAGGAGTCTAGGCGAACGGGGCACGTGTATCATCCGTCGGCCGGCGGTAGCACATGTGACATGACGCGTGTTGCCGTCCTCGCGAAAGAAAAGCTCTTTGTTGTTTGGAGAGGGTGATGAGGATGATAAGGTTGCCAAGGACGGGCGATCAGAGGGGTTCATAAGCTTGTTGGGCCCAAGTGTCCTGTAACTGTGGGGGAAAGGGCAGAGAGCAGCCAAACATGAGGCATCCCCGACTTGCGCTGGAATTCTTACCTTGGCTTCCTCGTTTGGAAGAAGCGCCCGAAAGCACTGAAGAGTCCGCGATCAGTCCGATTCCGCCATTTCAGGCCCATCATCAAAAGATGCTGCAGCACGAGAATACCACAAAGATGGCGAAGGGTCTTTCTTCGAGCTTCTGGGCACAAAGATCGGGACCGACGATGGGGTCTTTGTTTGTCCTCCAAGTTCGGAGGTGATGCAGAATTCTATATGACCTCAAGATGCGAATGAACATCACATGCGAACGTCATATGACATCGTACCACATGCGCTGCAAGAGGCATTCTTTGAATCACACTCCCATGAAGGGCTTGCTTCTTCCTACAAGAGAAAGCCGGAATGAGACAGGAGCATCTAGCTGCTAGCAATGACAGAACACAAATGAACACAAGCAAGACCTGCACTTGTTCCATACCCTCCCTCAGACAATCATGGAAGCTGAGCAGGTCCCCCTGTCCGTAGAGGAAGGGCTGGTTCTTCCAAGAGCCGAACAGTCCCACTTCCACGAGTGTTTCAGGGAGTGTAATATATGTATATAGACTCTTGATTCATGATAACTATGATGTATGAAAACCCCTCATTTGGATGCGCGCACTTCTCTTCGCATGGGGCGCCCACACACAGACGTTTGTCCTCTTTTAATCATCAACCGTCCTCAATTGGTGCAAAGAGAAGCACTTTTTGACACAGAAGCGAGGTCAGGCGCCCACCAAGGGCCATATGGCTGGCGTCTTGGGCAACGAATGGCTCTTGAAGGCTCAGTTCTTTAACGAGCCGCTGGGGCGGCAAGCAGGCATCTTCACCAGGCGGACCCGGTGAAGATGGCTCAGACGGTCGCGGGAGTGGGGAACCATGTAAAATCGGTGGGTCAGACTGACGAGATGGCCAGAGAGGAAGGCAATGGAAGGTAGACAGGTCTGACAGGCCGATTTTCCCATTGAACTGGGGGAATCTTCGTAGTAAAACACAATGGTTCACAGAAGAGCTTTTGACCCATATGTTGCCTTCATATCCCTCTATATCCCTCTCCTCGGTCTGAACAAATCCACGGGTTTGCAGCGTTTCGCCCTGGCCACTTCGGCACGACAACCGGTCAGTGCGATCTGGGATGTGTTTCACCTCCCAAGTTCGCCAGGCATGGCCACACCTGATTCAGCCCAAGATGGGGCAAGGCAATTGGAGAATTGATTTATATATCACTTCCAACGACCATGGTCATTCCACGTCACGAGAAGATGTCGGATAGCCAAGGACCAACAAGCTAGACTTCTTGCCGGTGATGCCGGCCCTTTCAGCGGAGCGGCAGGCCCGTTTGATCGAAGAGACCAAGGCAACCCTGCAAGAGCTCAAACGGACGTGGCGGCAATCCATGTTCAAGTGCCTTGGCTGTCATTCATTGAGGACCGATCGTCTCTCGTTTCTCACTGCCTTTCTTTCGAAGGATTTTCGACTTGACCGCGGCCCCTCTCCCACATCGGGCAATGATGGGGATGGGGTGGAGCGGTGTAGTTGGCATGCGAGTGGTGGCATGCAGTGGTTGCCATGCAGTGGTTGGTCAATATCCTTTCGATCTTGCATTTGAACACCCTGGTCAGGAATGACAAAATAACTATTCACGAAAGCTAGCACCAGCTAGCTGGAGTTGTCCTTGCTTTAGCAAGTGAGGGGCTGGAATCCTCAGGATCGCCGAATCACGTGAAAACTTCATATGTAGGGGGGGGCCCCCCCCCCGTGGGTTCAACTCCCTCCTCGGACGCCTCTGGGACACCTCTCGGGCATCTGTTATGGCATCCACTTTGGCTTAACGGATCCTCCGGGATACGGTGCAACAGATTCAACAAGCTCACACGTTCATGACATCGACATCGATAGAAGAAACCAAACAAATCATGCAAGCAGCTTTGTTTTGCCTCTGGGACACCTCTTGGGCACCTCTTAGGGCATCCACACTGGTTCAACTCCTCCGTGGAGGTTTTGGGATACGGTGCAACAGATTCAACAAGCTCACAGGTTCGTGAACACATCGGATGCATCGAACAGTGTGGCAAAGTCCAGCCACGCTTCCTTAATTATCGGGGACTTCAATTCTAAGGTTGGCTGTGTCATTGCTGTTTGTGTGTCTTACATGTTCACAACGTTTTACCTCATGAGCATTTGCTTCACTCCGCTTGATGTCCCACCAGTCCGGATGCACCCCTGCTAGCTTTCGTCACCTACCCTCGGCCTCAAGTGACATAGCAACATGGGCCCAACATGGGCTTTGGTCGCGCAAGAATATATATATATATATATGCATATATATATATATATTTGTGAGATGCACATGCTCCTAGGTCTACAAATTTCTTTATTTGCCCTTGGAAGCGCAGTCTAGTTTGTTTCAAGTTTCTGCTGTTGAAAGTGGCGTTGCCGGAATCGGAAACAGTATACATTTGCAGTCCATGGACTAGCTAGCTGACGGCTGCTCTTTGAACGCCCTGTGCCGCTGTGGCCTCCAATCCATTGGAAGGTCTGACTTCTACTTCAGCGGGAAGGGTTTTCAGAAGGCTGGACCGATGGATACCGATGCTGCTTTCGGTGTGCGGCGGTCTCTTTCTGAGGTGAGGCTGGTTAGAGGCCACACCCAGGCTGGTCAGAGGCCCTTGCAAACACTAGGAGAAAGGTGGACATGGGTTTTGCTACGTAGGGTTTTGCTATTGAAGATTATGTTCAACCATGTGCTGCGACTGCGCATGGACATCCATTTCTGATGAGCGCGCAACAAAGCTATGCCGCATGCCTCTTTGTTCATCTCTTGTCACTGTATGTAGTATGGATCTCTCTTATTGAATGTGTTTGTGCATGAGCAGTTGCATGTGGCAAGGAATAAGGTTCCACATGTTCAATGCCAGCTTTCCCACCGTTCCAGGTCGGCATGGTGTGCTTGTTAGCGGAGAAGCTTCTGTCCAGCCAAGAACTGGAGCTTTGCACTCGTTGGCTCGCACGTGGCTTCGAGTCTCTAGGCTGAATAGACGAGAAAAAAACACCGAGGATCGGCGCAAAGATGTTCTACATGCGTTTCTTTTTTATTTTTTTTTCCGGTGGTGGTGTTTAATATACGATATGGTGAATGTGTGGGTCATGTTTCCTTCAGTGCACTTATATGGAACGTCTGGGGGTAGGTCTTCTGTACTTGGTCTGGCTGACACCCACAGGCAGTGGTGACTATCCATGGTGGTTAGCCCCGTGAGGCATTCTTCTTGAAACATGCTTTAATTTGAGAAAGACCAATCGGGTAGCTCCCCCTTTTTGAGATCAGACTGCGCCACAAGCTGAGTTTCATATTCTCCATCAGCCCCCACATGGTTGTCAATGTTCCTACAACGCATAGGTTCTTTGCCTATTGACAACAGATGTCAATCGGACGCCCCAGAAGGTGAACCATCCCAAGGAGGGACGAATCTCAAGCCTGGGATCCAACCCGAAAACACTGGTTCGTTTTTTTTGGCCACATGGATTCCACAGCGATGTTTTTACGCCCATGAGTATATATCCTTCCGCAGGTGCATCCTCTACAAGTCGAAACACCCAGACGATCGAAGTTCACGCTGCGTGCTTTGGCGCCAACGAAGAATTCGGGGGATGTTCGGGTGCGAGGCAAGAAAGGCAAAGGTACTGGCCGGGGCCACAAGAATCCTAGTGGAGGAAAGCTGTGATGACAATGTGTGGGTCCGGACCTAGGTGATTTGCTCTCCTCGGATCGCATCCCATAAGTCCCATGGCAGTGGTGTTGGCCTTGCGGGATGTGACGCAGGATGGATCATCATCCGCCGATCTAATAAGGCAGGGGCACCAGGCGGCTTGTTCTACGACAAGGATTGGGGAGGCTTGCCTAGCAGAGTTGGCTACAATCCAACCTGGCACTCAAAGCCAGCTGCCCGGCGAGATCGCATGACGTTCATCAGGGGTGGAGATGCATTCTTGTCGTTCATAGGGGCACCCCCAACCAATGGGTTTGTGAGCGTCTTTGGGGGGGTTCTCTCTTTAGAACACAGAAACACCTACTACAAGGGATTGGGAGATATATACATAAGAGAAGGTGGGTCAGATACCCTCCAGGATCAACTGGAAGGCTGCTTTTCTCAACCAATCAGGGAGGAAAACGCAAAGAAGTCACGGGCACGTTTACTTCATGCAAACATTTCGATGCAAGAGAAGCAAGCAAGGAAAACAGCAATGTTTCGGAAATGGTGGGGCTAGAGCTAGAGCGTTCTGCTCCTGAGCTGCCTTCGATCTTAAGCATGGATAGTCCGGGCCGGGCGGGCCGGGCCACCGCCGGCCGGGCCACTGCGGGTCGGTCCGGGCGGTCCGGGCCGGTCCACTGCGGTCCTTCCATTTGTATAGGTCCTTTGTGGAATCCACCAAACCACACCTCAAATCCACCGCCCCAGCGTGGCGTAAGGAGACCACCTGACGCAGTGGGCAAAGGAAGAACCTATGCATCAAGATATACCCACAAACACTTTACAGAGGATGGATCGGCTGGTTTTTTAGTCTGTGCGAATAGACCCGTTTCTAATATTGTCGGTCTACGGAGCTGTACTTGGGGTTTAGTTTTGATTAAACCCTTTTTGGTCGAGTAAGGGCCCTCACTCGATCACAAAGGGTTTACATCCTGATCCAAACCCCAAACCCAAGGGTATGAATATCAATCGACCAAAAAGGGTTTAATCAAAACTAAACCCCCATTCCAGCTCCGTAGACCGACAACAGTAGAAAGGGGTTTATTCGCACAGACTAAAAACACTTTGCCGATCCCTCCTCTAACATGTTTGTGGATACATCTTGATGCATAGATTCTTCCTTTGCCCACTGCGTCAGCTGGCCTCCTGACGGCTGTGCCGGGGAAGGGAGTTCGCACGGGACGGGCCGGGCCGGGCCGGGCCTCGGGCCGGGCCGGGGTAGACCCGGCTATCCATGTTAAGAGTTTGCTGGAAGCGATGGGGCAAAAGCGAAGCCCTACCAGAACATGAAGTGAACATTGTCCAAGTGCATGTGATATGACATGATGTGACATGTTTGTCGTTTTTTCATTCTTTTCGATGGTTTTCTTCTAAGTCTTCTGTCAGGGAATTCCACGTTCTCATGACATGGATCCTTTGACCTGTAAGAGTTCAAGACTTTGCAGCCGTCATCTCCTGTGCCCAAAACGAAGCGACACCCCTAGCGATGCCGAAGCGATACCCTAAGCCTTGCCGCTATGTCGTTGAAGCTATGCCAATCCACCACTGGCCCACCTGAATATAGGGTGGTTTGCAACCAACGATGATGTTGCAATAACAGCTGGGTCAATGCTCGGCTTGGCTGCTTGCAAAGCTCTATACACTTGCCTTTGCTCACTGCAAGAAAGCGAGGCCTCTCTTCCAAGCTGAAGTCACAAGTCTAAAGTGGTCCAAAACTGAGGGAAGCGATGGGGCCTCCAAAAATCCATGTCGTGATGGCATTCGAATGAACGAGTTTTGGCCGCCGCACCTTTTTTCTCATTGGCTTTAGGTGTTGCACTGCATGCTTGCGGATTTTGGCAACTCCTGCTACAACGCAGCTTGGCTTGCTCATGGTGGGTATGCACTTGCCAAATGCAATTCGGAGGTCCCTATCGGTGATGCGGCATGCGGGACCTGTGACACCTCCCAGACAGCTGCTGACATACATGCAAGAAAGGTGAGTGAGCCATAGGCTGGCGAATCTCAAGTCAAACACCCGATTGGTCATACTTTGCCAATGCATGGCGTTGCCTGAATTGACTTTTGTTCGTGACTTTCATGAGTTAGATTGAGGGAGCATCCAGTGCATCCAGGTGATCAATCGGTCGACAGCCTGAAGCTACTGCAGCATTTCCACAAGCTTGTGATGACAGCTCCAGCAAACTTCTAAAATGAAAATAATGAGGAAAACACAGTGTGGAACATATGAACCCAGAGAACGTGGTTGTTGCAAAATTCCACATCAGGATTGTGATCCTGAAATGTGTCATATTTTGATGTGGTTATACAATGTTATACAAGACCCGGCTGCGAAATTGGATCCAAGAACTGTTACCAAGACCCTGCAACATTCAAACCTGTGAGATCCTGTGAGTATGAGACTGGAGACTGGTCGCCCCGCTGGTCGGAAGAGACCTCCCAAATACATGGAACGTTTCAACAAGAGACCTCAAACCAAACAAAGCATCAATCAAGCTGAAATGTTCTCTGCCTTCGCCCGCCAAGACTCACAAAAAGACAAAATTCAGAGCCTCCAGGTCTATTGGCCAAGCACCCCAGTCGTTGAAGCAACCCCGGATCCCAGCTTGAGTTTTGCACTTGAGTGTTACTTTGTTTGTGTTATTTTCCTGAGTTTGGTTCTGAGTCATTCTTTCTGATTGATTGAGTCTTCTGCTGAGTCTTGCTTTGTTTCGGTTTTGTTGCTTTATGTTGCTTTGCTTTATTGATGTTTATTTAATTGAATTGCTTGATATGAGCTTTCTGGGATTTGGGGATCACAAATCTAACATAATCTAACCTCTTTCTCATGTATTCCCAACCTTCCAACCTTTCTTGAGGACCACCATTACCATTTTGGCTACTTCGTGGTCTCCGCCGCCATCTTGGCCAAACTCAAGCCCTCCTGGACGAAGAACGCGGACTTTGTGAACTTCGTCGCTCGAGCCGGACCGACGATCGAACTGAAGGCCGTGACGTCGGAAAAGACATGGCCGCGACATGGCAGTTTTCTTTCCCATTTTGTGGCAAGGTGGAAATTGGCGCTTTCTGTGGTAGTAAGGTGGGGAGACTCAAAAGAGCCTTTTTGGATCACACCATCTTTGCATTGAGAAAGGGTCCTGGCAAAACTTTAGGCCGTTTGAAGATCCAGGGATGATAACTGACTAGCACAGAAATTGGCTAGCATAGGATGGCCGAGCTCTCAGGTCGATGGCCTCATCAGGGACACCTCGAACCCCAGCAGCGAGGATCCCTACTTCCCACGCTTCCGACAGTGCCGACCTCACTGCGAAAGTTGCGCTGAACCGATGACATGAGATGATATCATTTGAAGAGTTCATGCATCATGCTGCCTCATGCTGCATCATGCGCTCAATGGTGCTTTTGATGAGTTTCTCATTGTGAGATTAGGCCCGTATGCAAGGTGGCCAAGGTTCCAAAGTGTGATTTGCAACAACCTCAATGTTCATTGACTTCCGACTTGCGCAAATGGGCAAACTACTGTTGATGGAAGAAATCCTGCACCACTTTTGTGAAGATTATATATTACACCCTCGCGCTCCCTTTAGCATTGCTTGGTCCAGAATCAAAACTTGCAAAGGGCCCTTTGACGAAAATCCTGCACCACCTGCCTGCATAACCCAAAAACACTGAATGGGAGCGCGGGGCTGCTGGTCTGTCAGGTGTGGATGAGTTATGTGTCAAAGTGGTCAGCAAGTAAGCGGACGGGAGGCTGACGATTGGTGCATCCACAACCATCACAAACATCCACGATAAAACTAAGAATGAGAGCTGAATATGCAAACTTAAAGGAGCAGAGGTGAAGAACGCTGCCCCGAAAACAAGTCACACGAGTCCGCAATGGCTCGCACGAGTCACGGACCAGAGACACGCAGGAAGAACTGACCGGACGAGGCCAGAAACCCTGAAAAGAAGCATCAACCGCAGAACGCTACTAGGAACAAGAAGCTACTAGGGGCTTTGGCCTTAGTACTAGGAGCAAGGATGCTACTAGGGGCTCCTGGCATCGCTACTAGGAAGAAGAAGCTACTAGGGCATTTGGAGAAGATCCCTAAATGCCGAACCCCTGGTGTCACATGTGGGTCGCGTGCAAAGTTGCACAAAATCTTTGTGGATTTCTTCATCACACCAGTCTAATTATACTGTATTTGATGTCAAAATCTACCTTTCCACTGACACCTTGACCACTCTTTTGCTCTCAGCTTCGACTGGTTCGACCTTCACTCCTGGAGCCGTGGCTTGGCGCCCAACCCGGAGGGCAAAGATGAGGAGTCCACCTCGGAACCTTGGCCATGGAGGGTCCAGAACGGAGGGCCATTTATTTTAGGAGTATTTTAAAAAATGTTTGTTTGTGTTTTTCATGGCTTCTGGCTTTCGTGGCTTCTGTGGCTTTTGGCGTTCGTGGCTTTCGTGGC